TTGACAGAGAGAGACACAGCGAGAGAGGGAACACAAGCAGGGGGAGTGGGAGAGGGAGAAAGCAGGCTTCCCGCCGAGCAGGGAGCCCAATGCGGGGCTTGATCCCAGGACTCTGGGATCATGACCTGAGCCGAAGGCAGACGCTTAACGACTGAGCCACCCAGGCGCCCCTAAGTCTTTCATTTCATGTGATGGTCTCCCCAGTAAAAACGAGAGTGCTGAGAAGGAGAGCCTAGAGCCCTCACAGGCTCATTTCCTTCTGTTTTCTGTTCACCAGAAAGAACAGTAGAATCTTCTGGCCAGCCAGTTGTTAGTGGTGTTATGGATAATTCAGTGGGTAGGAATAGCTTGGGTTCAAAGGACTTCAGAATCGATGTGGAGCATTTACTGTGTGTTAAACATTTTATCCATCAGATCTTTAAGCTCAAATTTAATCATTTGAAGTTTCTGTTGAATGAAGCTAGTTAATTTGTGTGGCTGTGGTTCAGGCATCATTCAGCCGCACAAACAACAGAAAACTGTTTTGTGGATCTCCGAAAGGTGTTTAACTCTGAGGAGGAGCTGTAGGGTTCCTGTTGTTTTGTGATCATGCTTAAGCCATTGTAACGATCGGCTCTTCAATATTTACCCAGGACTCCGAACAGTGGGACAGCATCTGTAATGCTCTTGGTTCCAGGTGTTACATCATTGCAGAAGCTGCATCCAAAAGCATTTCGAAACTTCTAGAGGGTGGCGACATCAGCACCCCCAAATCCAGCGGGCTGATCATCAAACATACCAACCAAACCACGATGTCTGACTTGGTGGAAATAACCAATCTTCTTGACAGTGAGTAGAAGTATAGGTCTACAAGACTCATAAGGAACTTAGCTTGGTTACACAAGGAGCCAAAAAGATGCAGTTTGTCAGTTAATAAAAAGCATGGTGTGAATCTTGGAAGAAAAGCAGATTTCCAGCCGTTTGTGAGAGCTCTACTACTGGGAGACCATTTGCAGCTAGCTCACCGATCGACTTCCCGGGGGTCCCACCACAGTCCCAGCCCAGGAGGCCCCCCCCCCCAAGGGGAGCCGTCCCACAGGTGTGGCTGAGGACAGTGCCCTATCAGCTTCACACCACAGGACAGTGATCCCGCTCGCCCGCCCTGAGGTTTTAAAAATTCCTCACAAGTTTCAAACTCTTTGCCAGTGTGAGGTCTGTGAACGTGCTTTGCCTTGTACCATTTACTCAGCTAACTACTCCTGATCCTCACGTCTTTCCTTAAAGGAAACCTTTTCAGATATATATGACTTTCCTGGCTTCCCCCACCCCTACCTGCTTGCTCTGAACCTCCCTCATAGCTCCCTGTACTTTCTTCTTGTAGTACTGGCCACAATTAGGTGTACGAATATTTAATGTCTGGTGGCCCCCCTACTGGACCTTAGAGTCCCATGAGTTCACAGGAGTCTTTTTCAGTGCCTGAAACATGAGTAGGTCTCAGGAACTAGGCAGAAGGCTTGTGTAAGACCTGGAGCAGGGCTCAGAGCCAGGCTGGCGGCCAGGGGCCTGGGCTGGTGCCAGACAATGGCATGGAGTGTGCCTGTGTCCCTTGTCCTGCAGACGGCCCAGGTTAGGGCCCAGGGAGGGCGGTCCTGTAGGTGATCGATGGGAGGCCCCAGCCCTGGCCTTTCCTCCAGGGGCCAGCACTCAGCAGGCATGCCGTCATCCACCTCGGACTGCTACTGTAGCTCCTGCCTCAGAAACACCAAACACCGTCTCTGGAGAAAGAACCTTGGCTTGCATTCTTTGTAGACTTGGCAAACTTCAGGGGGTTCTGAGCTCCTCAAATTTGGATTAAGGACCATCAACACTGCTTTTCTAGTCAGTTAACATTCAGAACGACAGATTCCTTTGAATATAATTCTCCACGATGAATTGCGAAATCCAGTAAGGCACATCAGCTCTCCAAATGACTCCCTTGCACTTCTCAAAGGTGCACACTTTTCTACAGTGAACATGGACAAGATGGAGTCATGTCTTACAGCTGTGGTCTTAGAAACAGGTCAACCTCATCTGAGCATTTTCCCCCTTCAGTGGTCCTGAAGGTCTTACAATTTATGGTATCTTAAATTTGATGAAATTTGGCATTCGTGTAGTATTTAGCTACACGAATCTGAGCTACTGGAAAGAGATAAACAGATAAAACCAGGGTAGTAAAAATACAAATGTTTACGTCAGAATTCTCTGGTGGTCAAATCATTGACTCTTCCCAGGAACGTTATAAATCTTGGCAAATTTTAAATTTTGGTTCCAGAGGCTCATGTGTGTGTGTGTATACACATTTACACATATATACACATATATTTGTGTTTATATGCACATATATGTATACACACACATATACACGCATACATACATGTCTGTCTGTGTGTGTGCGTATATCTATATATATACATACATACATATGCCCTTATGCTCATTGTTTCCATGCCATCTAAACCTGAAAAGAATTCCTCTGCTCGCAGGTAAGAAGCGCATCGCTGTCTTTGGAAGTACAGAAGGAGAGTCGTCTGATGACAGCCTGGTCGATTTGGTAAGTACTGAAAGCTGGTCAATTGCAGAATTGCCAAAACACTGCTTTTATCACGAATTGGTATTTCAGAGAAATGCAGTCTTTGGCGGAGAAAGTCATGTAACCTTTTATGAAATAGACTTGCTTCCTCCCAGACAGCTACCTTTTGCAAAGAGCTAATCTTTGAACTTTTAAAAAGAAGAAAAATTGAAGTCCTGGGAGAATGATGAGCGCACTTAAATGGCTGGGGGGTGCACTTGCAATCTTAGCGCCTAAAATGAAGCGAGAAAGGCCACAACGTTCTTAGATAAAATCAGCGTGCTCACATGACTAGTAAAGCATCTGATATGTAGTCATGCTGTTTACCTCTTGCCACTCTCGGTCTGCAAGCAGGCCACCTTACCTACATAAAGATAAAATACAAAGTTGTAAGAGAAAAACCGAAACAGCACAGTGCCAGTGCCCTTTCTCCCTAAAGAGCTGTTTGTATCTTAGCAAAACGTGAGTTCTTGTTTAATATCAATTTTGTCCCCCCACTCCTACCCCCCTGAAGGCCATCGGACTCGGTGTCCGGTTTATCAAGTTGGGAGGTCTTTCTCGCGGCGAGCGGGTAACTAAGTACAACCGCCTTTTTACTATAGAGGAAGAACTTGTCCAGAATGGAACACTGGGTACGTGCGGCTTTCTTGTTTTGTTTTCACTTAGCCATGAATAAGAGAACAAAGATTGGAAGAAGGGGAATAGGAGGCCCTCGGCAGGAGGGCAGGGGAATCCAAAGACTATAACTAAGTGCTGACAAAACTAGGGTGGCATTTGCCACAATGTGCATTGTTTTCTTAATGGATCATCTATTTACCTGGATGTTTCAAACTCTGGCCCTTCTTCTGGATGAATAAGCTGCATGGTGCTTTTCAATAGAATTAATTGATTGGAATCTCCAAGCTTACCTTTTGTTATGGTCCAAATTATAGCTAAGGTCTCTCTGACAGCCCCTGAAAAGCTAAAGGCAGATGTTTTCCTGACGATTCTTGAAAACAACTCCTTGTACTTAAGCAGACAGCATGTTAAGTTTAACGTCATAATAAGGCTGTGGTCTCGAGAGAAACGAACCAATCATTTAGGAAGTCAAACCTCTGCAAATTTGCATGCATAGAAGGCAACTTGTGTACTGGCTAATTGGAGAAAAATAGCCCAAAGATGCATTTTTACCCTTCACAGGGCTGTGATGGCCAAAAGCAGGTGCAGAGCACACAGAGGTATTTAAAGAGACCAAGTTATTGTCTTTGTAATTCTAAAAATAGTTTGCATTTTACGATAGAATAAACAAATCACTATGCTGGGAAAAAAGTGTTTAAGTAGTATTGACAAAGTATGAAATTTTCTTGGATGCTATACCTGAAATCTATTAAATGATAAACGTATTAGGGCCTGTTCTGTAGGGCAAACCAGTTCTTGCATATGACAGCAAGCAAGTAGTCCTATGTGGGGCCTCAGGATATACATTGAAAAAATAAAGAAGCCAATAGAAATTGTAATTAGGAATTTGTCATGTTTAACATATGTCATGACCTTGAAACACACCCTAAGCGTCATAGAAAATAAAAATATAATTGAGAGATTCTTTTAGAGCAATCAAAAGTTAGTCTGTGTTGTTCAGTGTGTGACACAGGGCTTGTTTTTTCAAATAGGTAAAATCACGTTGTTCCTACGTATTACCTGGTGGGTTTTTTTTTTTTTTTTTTTTTAATGTCATCCTGACTTGTGAAAGCCTTAAGTTCCTAAATGGCCCATCACATTTCCAGCCAGACTTCACCACAAGAGAAACAGCAGCTTCCAGGCATCAGAAAGGATAGTGACCCGGAGGCCCAGCCCCTCCCTCGGGGCCAGAGCCAAGCCTTGGGCATTCTGGACTAGATTAACAGATTACAGGCATGCGTCATTTCATTGCACTTTGCTTTACTACTCAGATACTGCATTTTGCGGAGATTTTTTTTTTTTTAAAGATTTTATTTATAGAGAGAGAGAATGAGAGACAGAGAGCATGAGAGGGAAGAGGGCAGAGGGAGAAGCAGACCCCCTGCCGAGCAGGGAGCCCGATGCGGGACTCGATCCCGGGACTCCAGGATCATGACCTGAGCCGAAGGCAGTCGCTTAACCAACTGAGCCACCCAGGCGCCCTCAGATACTGCATTTTGTACAGAATGAAGGTTTGTGACAACCCTGCGTCGAGCAAATCGCTGGGCACCATTTTTTCCAACAGCATTTGCTCACTTCATGTCTCTGTGTCTTGTTTTAGTCATTCTTGCAAAAAATGATGATCAGTGGTTCGCTGAGAGCTCAGATGATCGTTAGCATTTTTTAGCAATGAAGTATTTTTATTTAAGGTAGGCACATTGTTTTAGACATAATGCTATTTATTGCACACTTCACAGACTACAGCATAGTGTGAACCTAACTTTTATATACATTTAAAAACCAAAAAATTCTCAAGACTTGCTTTATTGCAGTGGTCCAGAACCACACCGACGGGATCTCGGAGGTGTGCCTGTGATGAGAATTTCTCTGTCACTGGCCTGCGGTCAGTACACCCTATTGACAGTGGTCGATAAATGGGAAGGGGACCAAGAACTGGAAAGACAGCTCTCCCCACTGAGAGAAGTAGGAAATCCTGTAAAAGCTCAGCTATTAACTGAGCACTGTCACTGCCCACCTGGACCCGACTGGAACTGAGTCTGCAGTCGTCCGCGTGGGAATGCTTAGTTGGCGATGGTCTGTACTCACGTAGTGGACTGGCCTCTCCTCTCCCTCTGCTCCTCTTCCGCTAAGCCTCTGCCCAAAGTCCACTGCACACCAAATGTTCCAGAGGGCACCATGCAGACCGAGCAAAACAAGTGTATTGCACAGTTAATGTCTGAGCAAAGTCAGGCCCAGTTCTAAATGGTCCCGGGACCTTTTCTAATGGTGAGGGGACACCTCTGGGCAGTTCTGAAGATAGTCTCCTTTATGTCACAGAACAAAAAACATCAAACTCGGCACCACTGGATTTGACACTAAACTTTATTGTTGTTGTTGTTGAATAGGTTTCAATGAAGAACACACATTTTTTCCCTTGAATGACGAAGCGGAAAAGGGGACCGAGGCACCCGAGGCTGCGGCCACCGTGGCTGGTGAGCCGCCCGAGCTCCTGGAGCCCGTCTTCCCCACAGAAGTGATGGAGTCATCGGCCAAAGCATGAGCGTCTTCTGGACAGGGCTGGGGACACCCCGGCTTTCGGCCACACCACTAGCATGAGACCCCCAGAACCCCAGTGTGTCCTCACGTGAGGCTTTGCTCTAAAACATCCCTAACCAGCGTGCTCTTTTTATTCTTGTGATTTCACTGTTTGGTGACATTGATATGTAGTGTTTCTGCCCGAAATTACACCTGTGAGCTGTCTTCCAGACATCCCATTTCCATGGGGCTTTCGTTTGTGTACCAGCTCTCCTGTCCCCTTGGGGAGCCACGACCTAGGAAAAGAGTCCAGTACCTCTGTTGCTGAGCGCACACTCGGTGCCCGAAAGCACAGGCACATTTTTGTGGCCAGCCTCATGCAGGAAGAAGTGTGAGAACTTCAGCTTTTTTAACAGCCAAACAGCTGCTTCTTACTTCCTTACCCTTAATTCCCTTTTCCCTGATTCCCTCCTCTTACTACATTTTCATCTTTATTATATTACTTACATGCTTATGGGTGTCCTAAGATCCTTTTTGGAAAAAGAAGTATAAATGAATAAACCCATCAGTAAATGGATACATATTCTTAAGGTAATTAACTGCTCAATTATTTATGCAACAGCATCTAACGGGGGACTAAAAATGATCTATCATACAGGCTGACGAAGTGCTTCTCTCGTGAGCCGGTTATCAGGGTTATAGAAGAAAAGTACCAGAAATAAATTTATTCAAACACGTACCTATAGATAGAATAATGTCCTACCGCTTTATATATTTTAGAGTCTCTGTTTAAAGTTACCATTTGCTTTCCTCCAGAATTATAAAAATTGTTATATACTGACCTATAGGAGCGTTGGCTAAGTTGAGATTTCTGATACATTCTGTAAGTTTTTACTAAGTACACTGAGGAACGTTTCCTTCTGAAGAGTGCCCACAGGGAAACTTGATGGCCTCATGGTAAAGCCAGGGCCTTATGCTCATAGCAATGATTTGAAGTTGGCTCAGGGGCACATTCTCTCAGAGCCCAGGGCAGGAGGACTGGTTGGCATCTAAGCTGCGAGAACTGTGTCTCAGTTTGTGGTTGCTACTGCCTGTCCTGAGGCTTAGCATCACATAATGGGGTACGAGAGACAGGAAGGAAAATCCATTTATTTATGGGGTGTTTTTTTTGTTTTGTTTTGTTTTTTTTTTTAAAGATTTTATTTATTTGACAGAGAAAGACACAGCGAGAGAGGGAACACAAACGGGGAGTGGGAGAGGGAGAAGCAGCCTCCCTGCCGAGCAGGGAGCCCGATGCGGGACTCGATCCCGGGACTCCAGGATCATGACC